TATATGTTTAATTTTTTGGGTAAGTGTTTTACGGCGTTCGCAACTGCATATGGTCATATGACCGCGTGGGACACACAAAGCATTTTCAATTGGTAGGAAATTTTGAATTTTGCCCTAGTGTCTACTCTTATCGATTTTGGACCACGAAAGGGATCTTTAACGTGCCCAACTTGCACACGGGACCTCCGAGATTTTTGGCCCTCGTCCGAGAAGGCTAGGTGTAGATCTTTTCTACCAGAAAATCAGGGGTGTGGCTGATAGCAGTAAGAAGGAGCCAAGGAGTAGGAGCAGAAAGGCTGCAGAAAGAGTCAGAAGCCCAGTGGAGGGGGCAAAGGACGTGAGGGGTGGGAGAAGAAAGTGGAGACGAAAGCAGACGACTGAATATTGCAAGAGAGAAGGAAAGAAGGTGAAAGGAGACAGTTTTAAAGAAGTGTCGATCAGGTGAAGAAGGGCCCCATATCTAACACGTGTGACATCACTTCCGCGAGCTCTAGTGTTATAATAATATATACTCTTAATGGTAGACCCATATCGAGCGTAATTAAGTACGTCGTGGGGAGGCCACATTATTCCGGTGAACCGCCAAATGGAAGTGGCGTCTGTTGCCTAGTGGTAAAGTTCCCGGATTCGTAATCGTGAGATTGTGGGTTCGGTGGTTCGAACTTCAGCTAGGTCCGACGTTGTGTCTTTTGGAAAGGCACTTTACACTAATTTCTCTCTTGGCTGGGTCCTTTCGGAGAAGGACGTTAAGCTCGATTGGAGGTCTCGCCTCTTAAATAACCTAGCAGTGTGGATAGAGGCGTTTAACCTATACTATACCACCATAGTTTTGTTCACCGACAAGTGGACAAGCAATATAGTTTCTCTCACCTCAAGGCATCCATGTCCAAAGCCTCGGCAGTGACCGAGAGAAGCCAGAAGGCGCCGGTGATTGTGGAGAGCTTCATGTAGACGTAGACGTTGAGCCTGTCCTCTCTTTGTACCGACATCTGTAACAGGCGCACCTTCTGGATGCGGATCACGGTCAGGGTGAAGAAAGCTACGTTGCACGTTGTAATCAGAACAAGAGGCCCCACAACAGTCGTGCCTGTAATGTTTGGAGATGATCTTCCTGAGTAAGGCATCGTGGTGAAATCGGGTGCTGCTCGTCAAAATAATGATATTGAAGAAACAAACATTTTCCCGCCGGTTGAGCATTTTCATGATTTATTTTTCAAAGCCCACTTAAAGACACATGTTTGTGTGGCTTTTACTGAAAGACATTGATCAAAGGCATGCAAGATGTACGAGTAATTTAGCAGTTTCCAAATAAACCAATTTTTTTGGAAATCACCAAATGTTGGCGGCTGTTTCCTTGCAAATTCTATTTATGACACTTGGCAATGCCCACCTCCTTCACTCTCAAATACCTCGATCTCATTTCAAGATAGACAGGTATTTTCTCAACAAAAGCAAGACAGATGAAAAAGTTTCAAAATGATACTAGTAACTTCATATACCCAAATATTGACGAGCGTCCGATTCCAGCACGCCTGGACACAAGGCCTTAAGCCCCGATGTATAGCTTTTTGTAACTTTTATATAATCAGACGTATAAACCAGCAAGCCCCCCTCAACTAAATGTACATTATTTAGGAGGCAGGCTACGGGCTGCTTTAATCAGATCATGGCCTAGTGATTGTGCTCTCTCTCTCTATTTCAATTTTAAAAATTATTGGGGGGGGGGGGGGCTGGTCAGCTGTTACTTTACTTTATACTTTTACTTTTTCATCTTCTGTTGCCGTTAAGCGTCGAGGGGAGATACAGTTTTCCATGGTAGGCCAGCTCCGCAGCTCTTTCAGTTGTGATATTATTATTTCTCAGGGTTTCCTTGACACCCTCGATCCACCTTTTGCGTAGCCTTCCTCTTCCTTTATAGCCTGAGTGCTTAGGTGTTGTAGGCTCTCGAGGCTGACTGGCCAGGTGACATACGCAATAGGTGGCCAAACTATATTATGTGAGGCAGCGTCGTGGAATCAGGTTCTCGTCAATTTTTTTGGACATGTAGAGGTATCACCTTAAAGCTTGTTCACTGGCCTGTATTTGAATGAAAAAAATATTCATTTATCTTGAATACAAGTCGAGATATTTGCGAATGAAGGAGATGGGGGTCACCTGTTTTCAGAGGTAAAATTAGTGAGAAAATGGCAGCCAAAGATTAGTTATTTCCTTAACTTAAGAGTCCATGGTAACTGAAAATTTACATTTTTTGTTCCTTTAATCAACGTTTTTCAGAAAAATCCACACAGGAATGAGTTCTTTAATGGGGCTGAAAGGTGTTGAACAAAAAAAAAAAATGATGAAAATTCACAAACCTGTTTCTTCACTTTGATTATTTTGACGAGAGCCTGATTCCACCACGCTGCCTCACATATTTTTATTATCTTTCTATGTAATATTATGCAGGAGTCAATGCCGATAGCTGCTCTTACTTCTTCATTTCTCTGTCTGTCCCGTCTTGTGATGGGTTTTGCGGATACATTTCATTTCGCATGTGGTGATTTTGCTTTCATGGATTTTACCTAATGTCCAGGACTGGCACTGTTTGCATAATGTTGGTATGAATACTGAGGTGATACGCTGTCTCTTTGTGTTCAAGGAAATGTTTGGATGAGATAGGAAGGTTGCGAGCTAGTAGTTCAGCTGTTTTCTGTTCTAAATAACACAGGGTGGCGAAGAAGTTTGTGTCACTTTTTAAAAACAAAACACTTACCGTTCTATTCAACCCTTAAGATTTGTGATGCAGCGTGGTTGAATCAGGCTCTCGTCAATTTTTGTGCATGTAGAGTTATTGGTATCATCTTAAATTTTGTTTACTTGTCTATATTTGAATGAAAACAAATATCCATTTATCTTGAATACAAGTCGAGATATTTGCTAATGAAGGAGGTGTGGGTCACCTGTTTTCAGAGGAAAAGTTAGTGAGAAAATGGCCGCCAATGATTAGTTATTTCCATAGCTTAAGAGTCCGTGGTAACTGAAAATTTCCATTTTTTTGCCTTTAATTAACGTTTTCCAGTAAAAACCTCACAGAAATGAGTACTTTAATGGGCATGAAAGGTGTTGAACCAAAAAACAAAAATTTGATAAAAATTCACAAACCTGCGGAAAGATGCAAGTTTCTTCACTTTGATTATTTTGACGAGAGCCTGATTCCACCACGCTGCCTCACATTTATAAGAGAATAGCATTCAATATTCTCAAGATCATGCCAAAATAAAGACATATTATACATACAAATATACACTTGCACCATTGAGCTCACTCGAGACCCCCTCTCATGCCTTTACAACGCGCACCTGTACTCACGCACACATAAACATACCCACGCACATACTCAAGCACGCCCAAAATTCTCTCTATCTCACACACACACACACAAACACGCACACACACACACGCACACACACACACAAACACGCACACACTGACACACACACACACACACACACACACACACACACACACACACACAACACACACACATACGTGCACACTCACATACACACACATCCATCCTCAAAGCTGGAAATGTTCATTGTAATTTACATACTTTCAATCTCAAAGATAGAGATTTAGTGCTCTTCCCTAACATCCCCTTCCCTC